CTGATTACATCATTTTTTATTGTCCCTATTGTGCTTTTATTACCAAACTTGAGTGTTTGATTATTAAAGTGGACAATTAGATGTTAAAATTTTTCAGGTTGTGCCACTGATAGAGGGACCCATGGCTGGGATTTTGCACAACTTTTTTTTTTTTAAGTTTTTATTTATTTATTTGACAGAGATCGCAAGTAGGCAGAGAAGCAGGCAGAGAAGCAGGCAGAGAGAGAGGAGGAAGCAGGCTCCCCACTAAGCAGAGGGCCCGATGTGGGGCTTGATCCTGGAACCCTGGGATCATGACCTGAGCTGAAGGCAGAGGCTTTAACCCGCTGAGCCACCCAGGTGCCCCCAACTTTGATTTTTTAAACAAACAACCATGCGATCAGTGACAACCATGATGACAGCTAATACTCAAGTAATTTGCTGTAGTTAATAATGGGTTTTCTCTTCTGTTACCTCAAGGAAACATGTTAGAGTCTTGTGAAATAAGTATTTTTCCTCCCATTTGGTGAGGATATGGTCTTGGAGAGGCCAGCTTTCTTGTTTAATGTTGCAATACACCAAGGTAAGTATCATAGAAGTAAAGAATGGAACATGTCCCCCATTCCAGCATTTCAGAATAATGAGCAGAACGAACTGTAAGACATAGAAAGAGATAGATACTATAAGATTTATTTTACATGAAGTCCTTAATGGGAATTCAAAGAAGACAGGTAGATCCTTTTTTTTTTTTTTAGGTTTTATTTATTTATTAGAGAGTGTCCATGAGTGGGGGGAGGGGAAGGCAGAGGGAGAAGCAGATCCCCACTGAGCTGGGAGCCTGATGTGGGGCTTGACCCTAGGACCCTGGGATCATGACCTGAGCCAAAGGCAGATGCTTAAACCAACTAAGCCACCCAGGGGCCCTGGCAGGGTAGAGTCTTTTCTGCTGAAAGGCTAAGGCAAAAGCATTATGCAAGTAGATGGCATTTGAAGGATGAGCAGGGCTTGGTTTGCAAGTGAGAGAGGTATGCCAAACCAAAGCAATCATGTGACCTACACTGGCTGAACTGGCAGCTTTCATTGTGTGTACAGAAGGCTTGTCCTCGCCATCTTTATACAAAATCTAAGATAAAATTATGAAGTCTGGAAAATACCACTTTTTTATTTCTCCTAAAATTAGTTGGGTTAAAATTAGTACAAGGCTTTTGCAAGGTCTTCTTGAAAAAGGAAGCAATTACTTAAGTCTTGGGATGTTTATAGTTTTTGCTGTTGTTTCATTCTAATTTAATATGTCCCAAATAGTTTATCATCGTTAAAATGTTAGCCTAAACATTATTTTATTACTAAATAACATTTTTATCAACAGTTTGGTGGATCCAAAATTATAGTTAATTGTGTAATACAACCGATTTTGACAAAGGTTATTTTCCATAACTGATTTATACCCTATTGGCTGCTTTTCTCAATCTGGTGCTTATGTTATTTTTCCTGACAGTACAAGGCAGATTATTGACAGGCTTAATTGGAATGGTTTGTATATCAACAGTTTATACTCACTGAGTTCAGTTTATGAGGAAATCTGACTTATCAAACTTCTGTGGTCAAATATTCATAATTCTCAAATCATTCTTCTTTAAATAGTTATCCCTTTGGGCAAAACCAGTGACTCATTTTGTTTCATTGATATTGCCATTTTGAAAAGAGCTCTTGATTTGGTCAGGGGCTTTGTGATAGTGACACCTGGCAGTGTCTTCTCTTCTGGGGAGTTTCTCTGTTTACTTGAGCTGCTGTGATACTGTTCCTGTGTCTTAGAGGCAGGTGGCCCACCTAAGTGCCATGCTTGTTTGCCTTTGGGGGGTCCAGCTGTTCTTACCTTCTGCTTAGCTGTGAGGAACCAAGGGTTTTATTTCTGGGGAGGAAGAGTTTTTACGCTTCCACACTGAACTTACTTCCTTTTGAGAACTGGATTGATAGACTATCTGTCTTCATCCATTCAAGCTGCTGTAACAGAATACAGGTGGCTTGTAAACAATAATGTTTATATCTCACAGTTGTGGAGCCTGGAAGTCCACGATCAAGGCACCAGCAGATTCATTGTCTAGTAAGAGCCTGCTTCCTAGTTAGTAAGCAGCAGTCTTCTCACTATATCGTCATGTGGCAGAAGGGGCAAGGGAACTCTCTGGGGTCTCTTTTATAAGGTTACTAGTCCCATTCATGTGGGCTCTGTTGTCATGGCCTAATCAGCTCCCAAAGGCCCCACCTCCAAAAACCATCATATTGGGGATTAGGTTTTTACATATTAATTTTGGGGATCTATAGCACTGTCAGACCAAGTGCATCTTTATTTCAGCAGATAGTTCGAGCACATCTTTCTTGAAATCTCTGTCTGAATCAGTAGGAGATAGATGCATAAGTGTATTGGGAATCTGCATAGATGAAATTGAATTGGCTCAGGCAGTTCTATCTGAGAGTATAGATTCATTGCTTGGTGTGAGCCTCGAGGCTGTCCTCAGCTCTGTCCCACTGGATCTTTATCAACAACTTAGATAAAGACCTGAATATGTAGAATTACAGAATCAAGAGTTAAAAACTTCTTGCTCTAAAATAATCTCATGGAGTTTGTTAGGGATAAATATGTAACTTCCAGTATGTAGTTTGATAAAACTGTTTGGGGAAAATAGAAATGTACTTTAATTCACATTTTAAAAAGGCAAAAAAAAAAAAAAAAGTTCAGGATTTTGTTGGACTAAGCTGGTACTTTCCAGCACCATGTAATGTGTTTATTAAAAGAATGTAGTGAATTTATAAAACCCTTTGGCTGCATTAGTAAAAGTCTGATGTTTTGAAAGGTGAGGGTAATAATCCTATTGAGTGGCCATATTAGGAATCTTGTGGTTGGTTTGGATTTCACAGTTTTTAGAAGAATGCAGAAAAGACAGTGCTTATAGAGTTAGATGTCTGCAGCCAGAGCTTATGAGGGCTGGTTGAAGGAGTGTTTCAGTGTGGTTGATAATTATAATAGCTGTCTCCAGCCACATTCCATAAAGGACGTAAGCCTATTTATCAAGATGTATTTAATATTTGAAATGAACAGCTTTGTGCCAAGCGCATATATTATAGCCTTCTCTTACCTCTTTAAAATAGGTTGTATTTATTCTTTTATAGATACCGATTGAGAATAGTTTAGAAAATATGCACAACTTATATATACAGCTAATGAAAGGTAGATCTGTGATTTAAAGTTGAGCTGATTCCATTATACCATACTGCTTTTTAAAGATTGATTTATTATTTTAGAGAGGGGGAGAGGAAGCCTGAGCTAGAAGAAGGTTAGAGGCAGAGGGAGAGGGAGAGAGAATCTCAAACAGATTGCACTGAGCGCAGAACCCGACATAGGGCTCAATCTCATGACCCTGAGATCATGACCTGAGCGGAAACCAAGCGTCAGATGCTTAACCGACAGAGCCGCCCAGGTGTCCCTTGTCTGCAGTGATTTTTGAGACTGTCATTATGGAAAAAGGAATTATTAGGTTGAACTGTGTGAAGTAACTAATATTTAACCTTTTTAATGTAAAAAAATGGCAAATTCACATGGTTCAACTTACTAGGCCCAAGAGGAGGAAATTCCAGAGAAATCACTTGTAACTTCTTTTAAGAAATTTAGGATGTATTGGAGGTTTGAGTTTTGTATATGTGCTGCCGAAGCGAGCATTGGAGGTTTGAGTTTTTTAATTTCTCCACTGCCATGCTTTTCCAGTACAACCATTTGTCTGTATATTCCATTTTATTTCATGTTATTTTTCTTCTCTTAACTGCATCTTATTGATTGGTACCTCTTTCTTTTATCTCTTGTTAGAGATAGAAAGTGATTTTAAGGCATTCTGCTTTGGGATGTGTGTGTATCTGCATAATTTTTCACTTGTATAAATTGCCCATATAATGGCATCTGTCAGGTCATCAGCATAGCAACTTTGTAATCATACCCTAGTGCTGATTTTGAAATATAGAATATGATTTAGATTGAGTTAAGTTTTTTTTCTTCTGATAATGGAATGGTATTTGAAAATGTAGTCCTAATATTTATCAGTGGTTCAGTATGCTTTCTGCTTCTAATGGAAATTGTATCACTGCATTAAGGAAAAATTTGGTTCACTCAAGAAAGGTCCACTCAGAATATTCTTGGGTGACCTAATCAAGTAGAGTAGAAGAATTTGAGTTTAACGTGATTGCTTTCATTGGGGTGAGGGCATTGTTAAGGCAGTCTTCAATAAACTCTTTCCAAGACACATGCATTCCTTGTGACAGCTCTATTTTTTTGTCATTGATACATGATAGACCACTGCCTTCTGGTTTTGGTGGGGGGGGGGGTTCAAACTTTTTCTGGCTCTTTAAATTTGATTATTGACTTCTGACTCCTCATGCCTTCGGATCCATTTATTTGGTTGTCATTTTTTCTCTTACTATCTCTGAGTCCCTTTGTTCAAACAAAGTACACAATAGCAAAATCTCAAAAACCTTTGTAACAGTTACACTGTCTTTGTGTAGAAACCATTGTGAGATCCCTTTGGTTTCATAAAGAGATCCCACAACAATATTCCCTAGTTCTGTCCACACATGCAGGTATCAAGATGGTAATAAGTCTGAATCTGGTCCAACTCATCAGTAGTAAGTGCTGGGTTGGGTACTTGATTTTTTTGTTTGTTTTTAAGGATTTCCCCCCATTCTTTCCCCGTAGTCTATAAGCTTAAGAACTTGTATGGCTGCTTAACAAACAAACAAACAAACAAACAAAAAACATGTTGATCTTTTCTTTCAGAAGATGAATCATGGTTGAGTCTGTATTATTTATCCTGAAGTTGTATCCATTCTCTCCAGACAGTAATCTGGGGAGGTAATGGCTGTCCGATGTCTCCAGCTACATATGCATTCTGCTCTTCCACTTTCTATTGCTGTGTTTTAATGCATATGTTATAATAACTAGGTTAACACAAGGGATCTTTGTTTTTGTTTCTATTTTTCAGTAACAAATACTTTTAAGAAAACAGATGATTTTGTGACATGTAAAGCACCAGCTGTCGACCTAGATCACAAATTCAGGTGCAAGGTTGTGGATTGTCTAAAATTTTTCCGCAAGGCCAAACTGTTGCACTATCACATGAAGTATTTCCACGGGATGGAGAAGTCACCAGAGCCAGAGGAGAGCCCAGGAAAGAGGCATGTCCAAACGAGGGGCTCTTCAGCTTCAGACAAGGCCAACCAGGAGAGCCTGACCAGGAAGCGGGTCTCTGCCAGTTCCCCAAGTAAGCACTTTGGTTCTTTGTTGTATCTGTATTATAGAGGACTCTCTGTTGCTCAGGTCACATTGCTTGCATTTCTGACACAAAAGAAGGCATTAGGTTGAGGTCCAATTGAATTTCAAAGACTGAAGATGAGTGATCCTTAGGAGTTGCATCATGGGGCTGTGGTGGACCTGGAGGAAATAGAAATACCTTACTGATAGTCTTACCTTGGCCTCCTGCTCCTCAAGTTACCTTGAGAAGTCACTTAGCTTTTGAGGGCCCTATAATCCTAGTATGAGTGGGAACAGTCAAGGAAATGGAGCTCCTTCAGAAGCCAGCAGTGAACTTGAGCTCAGAACAGCAGGAGTACAATCATTCTATCCCCCAAGCCTACCCCATCCCTGCCAGCAGGGAAAAAGAACTGAAACATTGTGGGACTCTCTTGCTGTTTCCAGATTTGAGTTCAATTTCATCTAATTGTAACTGAAGATATTTTCTAATAGCACTGCTTGTTTTGCATAGAAATGACAGTGGTGGTAGTAAGGGTTATGAGCACCAAATCTCATGTTCGTGTCTTATCACAAAAAACTGTTTTGAAATTTTTTTTTTAAACTTAAAATTGAAAAATTACATATTTCTGGGGAAATTTTAGAAGGCTTTTTTTTTTTTTTTTTTTTAAGTTATCTTTGTACGCAGTGTGGGGCTCGAACTCACAGTGCCAAGATTAAGAGTTGCATGGCCTACTGACTGAGCCAGCCAGGCACCTGCAGAGGCGTTTTTAATGACTTTTCAGTAAATTCTACAAGCTCTTCAGGTTCTTTTTACCTGAAATTGTAACATCATTATATATTTTTGGCTTATAACTTCTCCATTAAAATACATAGGTATTTTTTTTTTAACGATTTATTTATTTTGTGGAGGGGAGGGGCAGAGGGAGAGAACTTTTCACACAAGCTTCATGTTTAGTGAGGAGCCCGATGTAGGACTCAGTTCCAAAACCCGTGAGACCTTGACCTGAGCCAAAATCAAGAGCTGGATGCTTAACCAACTGAGCCACCGAGGCACCCCAAAATACGTAGGTATTAAATGACATATGCAACTCCTAGGACATGTGACAGTGTTTCCAAGAAGGTATGAAATCAGGTTTCAGGACAGTGGGGCAGGCCATGTTAACTAAGGTGATCTCTGACCCTGTGAGAGATCAGTCCTCAGCCATGTTGCAAAGATACAGTGGGAGTTTCTTAGCCATATATGATGTATTATTTATTAGAAATACAATGCAAGCCACATGTAACTTTTTCTAACAGCTACATTTTTATTTTTATTTTTCTAATTTTTTTTTAGTTTTTATAAAGATTTTATTTATTCACTTGAGGTTGGGGGAGCAAAGAGGGAGAGTGAGAGGGAGAAGCAGACTCCCCGCTGAGCAGAGAGCCTGATGTGGGACTTGATCCCAGGACCCCTGATATCATGACCTGGGCTGAAGGCAGATGCTTACCTGAGCCTGAGCCACCCAGGCACCCTAATAGCCAGTTTTTAAAATGTAAAAAGAGGGGCGCCTGGGTGGCTCAGTTGGTTGAGCAACTGCCTTGGGCTCAGGTCATGATCCCAGACTTCCAGGATCGAGTCCCACATCAGGCTCTCAGCTCCTTGGGGAGTCTGCTTTTCTCTCTGACCCTCTCCTCTTTCATGCTCTCTCTCACTCATTCTCAAATAAATAAATAAAATCTTTAAAAAAAATGTAAAAAGAAACAGATGAAATTATGTATTTTGTTAATTCAGTATATCCAAATATTGTTATTTCAGCATGTAATCAGTATAAAAATTTACAGTGAGCTATTTTATATTCTTATACTAAGTCTTTAAAATCTAGTGATTTTATTTTGTGTTTTATGCTCACTGAACATTTCAATTCAGACTAGCCACATTTCAGGTGCTCAGTAGCTACATATGACCAGTAGCCTTTGTATTGGACTGTTTAGCTCTAATACCCTCAGCTGTAGGCAGTCTAGCATGCACTTGGCAAGCCTAAGCATTGAGCTAACAGGAGCTGCCTGAGGAAGGACAGCTGGCCAGTAGTCACCCAGGAGGAGACTCCTCTTGAGGGCTTCAGGCCATGGAAGCACTCACCACCTTAGTGGCTTCATCAGAGTCCTGCTCAGGATGGCTGTTTCGGTTGGTACGAACCAAAGTGCAGTAGATGATGGTCAAGGCCAAGTGCCAGTTACTTATTTGAAACGAAGCCCACAGCTATCAAAACTCCTTCCCTATATCTAGTTCAGACCTGTTTGGGAAGAGAAAGTTGCTTATTGGGTTAGACTATTGGGTTAGAACACTGGAGTTAGAAATGCCTCAGACTGAAACAGATTGACTTGTTCATTGAGTCCCATTTACTGAATACCTAGTATTTGTTTGGCTCTTTTCTGGGCATTCCAAAAGAGACCTGAGTCCTGTTCTACTTGAGATCTTGGTTGTGGATATTGCTGGCACAAAGGAAAAAAGATGGGCTCAGTTCTCAGACTGGAGCATTCTTTTGCCTGGGTGATGCTTGTTTCATTTAGGGCCAAGCACTGATTTCTTAGGGATCAATAAGCATCCTTAAAGGATGTTAGTGTCTATTACCGGCCAGTCCTACTGGCTTTCATGGCCATTTTGTATCTTTTAGGTGAGTTTATATCTCTTTGCCATTGAACACATATTTAATTCTGGGGGCAGGCTTATGTCCTAGAACTTGAGGGACTCGTCACTGAGATTTTCCCCTTACGCCATATACCACCTGGCACAGGTCTCAGCTGGAGCAGTGGCTAATCCCTCTGCCTGGGAGTCACACTAGATGCCTTTTTTTTTTTTTTTTTAAGATTTTATTTATTTATTTGAAAGAGAGAGTGAACATGAACAGCGGGGTTGGGGGGTGCAGAGGGAGAAGGAGAAGCAGACTCCCCGGTGAGCATGAAGTCTGGGATCAGCAGAGCTGAAGGCAGATGCTTACCCAGCTGAGCCACCCAAGCACCCTTAGATAACTTGTTAAAATAGAGATTTTTTTTGGCCCTGCTTTCCAGACATTCCATTTCAGTGGCTCTAAGTTTAGAATCTGTAATTTTTGTACTCCCCACCCCCAAGTATAAAAGTGACATATGATTGCTGTGAAATCAGTACCACAGAATGCTAAGGGAAAAGGTCTCCCTCCTCTTGGCATTTCCACCTCCATTGCGGATGTGACTATTTTTGTTTACCAAACTTTTTTCAGATATTTTCTGTTCATGTTCAAGTACATACATGTCTAAATAGAAAATGTATTTTACACAATTAAATTTAATTGCACAGCAAAGGAAACAGTCAAAAAAACCAAAAGACAACTGACAGAGTGGGAGAAGTTATTCGCAAATGATATATCAGATAAAGGGCTAGTATACAAAATCTATAAAGAACTTAGCAAACTCAACACCCAAAGAAAAAATAATCCAGTCAAGAAATGGGCAGAAGACATGAACAGACATTTCTGCAAAGAAGACATGCAGGTGGACAACAGACACATGAAAAACCGCTCAACATCATTCGGCATCAGGGAAATACAAATCAAAACCACAATGAGATACTGCCTCACACCAGTCAGAATGGCTAAAATTAACAAGTCAGGAAATGACAAATGCTGACTCTAGCTCTGTGGGGGTAGCTCTGTTGGGGATCTGTGGTGTCCAAGGCCAGCTCATGGTTGCATTGTGCTTAGTTGTTGCTTTTCCTCTGCGTGGTTCAGGATTGCTTACCACCTTGCCTGTCTTTCTGCTGCTGGGAAGGGAAGGGGAGGGCATATCTCTTTCTTTTAAGGGTATAACCCAGAAGTGCCACAGATCACTTCGGTTCATAGCCCATAGGCCAGAACATATTGTCCCTGGCCTCACCTTGCTCAGGAGAAACTGGAATATGTTCTCTTTTCTTATGAAAGAGGTGGAGAAATGGATATTGGAGAATGCATAGCAGTCTCTGCCATGTGAACTAAGGCAGAAAAATGCAGGGCTTAAGAAGGGGTGGTTGGAGGGCCCTGTGGGGCTGGTGTTTGGGTGGGATCCGCGGGGGGGACTGCTGGGAGATGAGGCTGGGAAGGTAGGCATGGTGAAATGGTAGTGTTAAGCCACGAGTATCAACTGCTCTGGTAGGCAGTGAGAATCTCTCCAAGAGCATGCCCACTTCCACTCTGCCCTTGAGCTGCTTGCCGTCCCTTCATGCAGGTCAGAGCATGCTCTTGTTGCTCCTTGTCCCAGCCGCGAGGCAGCTCTCCCATGGACGATGGTGATGTTATTCTGTGCTTTTCCCTCCTGGAAGCAGTAATCTTATGTCCTTCTGCTCTCATAAGGTGGCAGTTGTCTGGTGGAGAAGTAGGGAGCTGGCTGTACAGAGGGAGAAGGGCTCTAGGACTTTTGATGGGCACCTACCGCCTGAGGAGATGACAATGGCCATCCTAGAAAAGCCTCACCCTCCTCAGGTGACAGGCTGCTTTCTGATCCAGAGCCTTGGCAGGAAATTGCTCTTTGTGCAGCCGGGCTTGGGCAATCTAGAAGAAGCTCTGCAGTCAGGCTCATATTGTGTGGGTCATGCTGTCCAAGGAGAAAACTGACAGTAGACCAGTTTCATCCTTTATGGAGAGGGTATCTCAAGCAAGATAGCAACAGCTAACATTTGAGAACTTGCCATGTGCTAGGCACTGTTCCAAGTCTTTCCTTGTATTGTCTTGTTTAATTCTCAAAACAGAGCCTATGAGGTGGGTACTGTTGTGCCCAATTGATAAATTAGAAACTCAGATGCAGATGAGTTGGGTTAACTTGAACCAGTATCTGTACATCTAGCAGGTGGTGGAGCCACGATTTGAATCTAGTTGCAGAGTCTACACCCTCACTCTACTTGGTCTTTTAGGATTTTAGGTTTTTTAGGACTCTAGTCTGGTCTTTTAGGATTCCAGGGAAGGATGGCCGCCCCTGGGTCCTGGAGTGGAGAGTAGGAGTGCTTCCCTGCAGGAGACTTCCTGTGTCCATGGGTAATCCGAATGAGTTCTGCCTGTTGTCCGCTTGTCTACCCCTGTACCTCAGGGAATCACCTGCATTAGCTTAGTCACTGCTGGACATTTGTCCCTGTGAGCTCTGCCACCTCAGGCCACATGTGGCTTCACAGTTTTCAGCTGGAAGCCAGTGTGAGACTCTGAAGATTTTCTCTCTTCCTTGTGCATTCAGAGACCATAGACCTCTATAGAACAGCTTCCTAGAATAGCTCTTCTTTTTATCTTCATTGTTTACTCCTCTAATTGAAGCCTTTGGAGGGAACTCTTAAAAGCTTAAGGTGACCCTATTTCAGACCAGCCTCAAGACTTGGGATGCTTTTAGTTACAAGTAACAGGAAATCCTATTTGAATTGACTCTACAATCAAGGGGTGTGTTTTTTCACATAATGGGGCAGTCCAGGGGAGGGACGGCTCCAGGACTGTCTAACCATCTCACTTCTCAGTGCTGTTTTCAGGCTGGATTCCTTGTGGTCATAGGGTGGTAGCCAGTATAATTTAAGACTCCATACTGCTTCATTCAAATCTAATAAGAGAGCAAAAACATATCCTTTTTATACATGTTGGACCAGAATCCCACTTGTGGGTCATATCTGGCCATTCCAGTCCCTGTCCTAGGAACCAGTTGGCCAGGCTCAGATTATCTAAACCTAAGATTGCAACCGGGGCCATGAGATTACTCTTACTGATTCAACTGAGTGTGGAGTCAATCCTGCTCAATTACACGCTGCTCGGTGAAGGAGTATAAGAGATTCTCAGAGATAGATGTCTCCTACACCCAGCAGGTGCAAGGTGAGAAAAGAAATCCGCAGAGCCAGGAAGCCAGGTGGTGGTGGTGGTGGTGTACTGCAGAGCAGATCCATGCCCTGGTTCCTATTTCAGGGACTGTGCTCAGGGCCCACGTCCTCTCAGAGGTCTGAGTTCTCCTTTCCTGTTCGGCAGTCTGCGTGATCTTGCAGTTCTCTGAATTTCACTTCCTCCTCTGTTGTGTGGTAACAATGTTAAGCTATAGCTGCATTTTATGCAAAATTACCAGTTTGAAGTTGTATGATTTGAAAAGTCTTACGTGCAAAATTTGAATTAATGCAAATCCTAAGAAACAGAAAATTCATTAACCATGTGATTTCAAAGGCCAATGAAAGTGTTCATTATGTCTCCATTTTATGGAAATGTTAGTCATGAATTATGTGACTTTGAATAATGTGGGGACTTCAGGAATCCCTTGTATGGAATGAACCGCCCCATTCTTCTCTTACTGCCTTTTGGGTTTCTTAAAGGATGTGATACAGTTTTATAAAATGTAAAATGAAAAAAGACCCCAAAAAACCCTCCCATACTTAGATGATAACTGGGTATGCCCAGGTACTTGGCAGTTTATACCGTATATCTTGACCTCTCAAGGATCCAGGACCAAGGTGATCTCTTCTGCAGCCACTTGTGCTGATTGGGTTAATGCTCTTGGCCTTTTAATTTGGAGGTCATTAAAACCTGAGTTTACAAATCAAAAAACTGGGTTGGGCAACAGTTTCTGTATGTTTGTGTGTGACAGTGTATCAACTTTTCTTTTTAGAGGGTTTTTTTTTTTAAGATTTTATTTATTTGTCAGAGAGAGTGAGAGCACAAGCAGAGGGAATGGCAGGCAGAGGGAGAAGCAGGCTCCCTGCTGAGCAAGGAGCAAGTGATATGTGAGGCAATATATCACCTTCTTTTAGTCCTTTACTCATATGCTTCCAGTGGCCTCCTAAATCGCTCGTAATAAAGACCAACTTCCTTACAAGGCCCCACAGGATCCCATGATCCACTTCTAGCCACATCATCTTCTCTCCCTCACCCGAATTCTCATTTGAGTTCCAGTGGAGACATGCAGGCCTTCTTCCTGTTTACTGTTCTCAAATTCCAGTTATTCATTGCTAATATATAGGAAAACAGTGGACTTTTGTATATTAACCTTGTTCCTTTGCAACCTTGCTATAATCACTCTTAGGTCCAGCAGGAGGTTTTTTGTTTTGTTTTTTGTTTTGGTCAGTTCTTGGGGATTTTCTACATAGTCCTGTCTCTGCAAACAAAGACAGTTTTATTTCTTCCTTTCGTGTGTAACGAGCGGGAGAGTGGAGGGAGGGGCAGAGTGGGAGGGAAAGAAAATCCTCAAGCCGGCTAGGAGCTGAGAGTGGAGCCCAATGCGGGACTTGATTCCATGACCACAAAATCAAGAGTTAGCCACTTAACCTGCTGAGCCACCCAGGTGCCTCATGAGTTCTGTTTTGTATCTGAGGAAGACTATTCCCAGGGTCAGAGGAAAATAAATATTGTTGATAGCTTTTATGAAATTCAGGAGGCATTTGACTATGTTTTGCTAATTAGCTGTATGACCTTGGCCAGGTCAGCTTACTCCTTTGGACCTTGGTTTCTTAATCTTAAATTGAGTATTTTTGTAAATTAGACCGAGGTATTTTCTGGAGTTCTTGTTTGTTGAACTTTCTCAGTTGTGGAGTACTTTAACTGGGAGGGAACTTAGAGACCCTTAAATCCTGTATTCTTTATCCAGTTGATTAACTTCTGTCTGTAGAGCCCAAGCTTGACAGCTGCAGAGGGCAGCCCACTATCCTCTCTGATGGTTCCTGGATGCCCATTAGGGAGAGGCGCTGGGCTGTGGCGCTGACATGGTGCTGAAGAGCACCTGTTTTCAAATATCTGCGTGATGTCAGGCAGGTGCCTTCACCTCACTGAGCTTTTAGTTTCCCCATCTGTAAAATGAAAATGATATACACAGGTTGTTGTTAGGATTAAGTGAGATGTTTGTGGTTTCTTTGCACACAAGTGCTTAGTTAAAATCAGATGAATCTGATTGTTACCTTACCTCATAACTGCTTTGTGATCATCTTGAATCCACATCAGAATCACTTGGAGAGTGTTTTTGATGCCCTTGGAAGCATGCTAAGTGAAAGAAGCCAGACACAGAAGGTCACGTATTGTGTGATTGCGTTTATATGAAATGTCCAGAATAGATACATCTGTAGCCATGATGCAGAATGGTGGTCACTAAGGACTGAGGACCTGGGAGAAGCTGTTTAGTGATAAAGAATTTTCCTTAGGAGTGATGGGAATGTTTTGGAGCTGGATAGAGCAGGTTGTACAACATGGTGAATGCTCTACAAACCACTGGACTTTTTCTTTTCTTTTCTTTTCTTTTTTTACAGCTTTATTGAAGTTTAATTGTGCAGTGAACTGCCTGTATTTAAATTGTATAATTTGAAGAGCAACACAGTCAAGACAGTAGACACATCTCTTGCCTCCCAGACCTTCCCCATGAACTTTTTTAATTCCTCCTTTTCACTCCATCCTTCCTCTCATTAGGCACTGTGGTGTTGTTTTTTTTTTTATAGATTACTTTTTGTCTTCTAGAATTTTATACAAATGGAGTTATTCAGTATGTACTAGGTTTTATCTGGCTCCTCTCACTTAGCATACTTGAGATTCACTTAGGTTGCTGTACATATTAATACTTAATACTTTTATCACTGAAAAGTATTCCCTTGTGTGAATGCACCACAAATGATTCATTCACTTGCTGATGGACATTTGGGCATTTTTTACTTTGTGTGATTAAAACTACAGCTTCAGTGGGTGTTAATGTGCATGTCTCTGTGTGGACACAGTATCCCTTCTCTTGAGTAAATATCTAGGAGTAGAGTGGTTAGGTCCTAGGATCTATGTGTGCTTAAACCCTTCTTGACCTCTGCAGAGTTAGGCTTGATCAAGTATTTGAAATGCTATGGACACATTTGATAAGCAAAACAACGGGATTTTTGCAATGGGGAAGCTACTGTTAACTTTGAAAACTGAAAACAATCTTAAAGTGGTAGGTGGGAAGCTTTTTAGAATGGAATTAAGAAAAACTGAAGTGAGAAGTTTGGATAGGGAGTGTCAATGACTTGAGTTTGCAGTGAAGAGTAGCAGAGAATGAAGTGGTATTTAGAAGGTATGTAGTATTCATTTTTTAATGGGTAATTTTATGTTATGTGAATTGTACTTCAGTTATTAAAAATTTTTTTTTGACGTGCAGGTCACACTGTAAGCCACATAAATCAGCATCTTTGTGAGTGGGACCTGGGCACTCACTTTTTAAAAATCTCACCCAGGTATTGTAGTATGTAGCCAGTGAGGAGTCATGATCTAAGTAGGGTTGGCAAACTTAATCTGTAGAGGGCCAGACAAATATTTTCAGCATTGAGGGTCACAAAGTCTCCATTTTCACTCTTCAACTCTGCTGTTGAAGCATGAAAGCAGCCATCATCAATATATAACAAACGAGTATCATGTGTTTCAATAAAACTTAAAATAACAGGCAGTGGGCCAGAATTTGCTCACCATTGGTCTAAAGGCTAGATGATGGAGAACGGGTTCCAGAGCCTTGAGGGGGATAGAATGTAACCTCGTAGGCAGAGCCAGATCTAGAACTCTGTCCCTTTGCCCACTTTAGTTCTTCACATTGGACATTCTTATTTGAGAATAAATATCTTGGAAACAAGATGTTAGAAAGCCAGGACTTATACTTATTTTTAATTCCAGCTGCAAAAGACAAGGAAAAGAATAAAGAGAAGAAATTCAAAGAGTTTGTGAGAGTGAAGCCAAAGAAAAAAAAGAAAAAGAAAAAGAAAACCAAACCTGGTAATTTTTCCCCTGGGGTGTTTCACTTGGGTTTCTCACCATAGGTTGGGAAGGGATTGCTCTCTCTCCTGGCCCTGAGATTGCACTGAGGAGAGGAGGGGCCAGCAAGCCTTTTTTTTTTTTTTTTAATTTTTAAAATTTCTTTTCAGCATAACAGTATTCATTGTTTTTTGCACCACACCCAGTGCTCCATGCAATATGTGCCCTCCCTAATACCCACCACGTGGTTCCCCCAACCTCCCACTCCCCGTCCCCCAGCAAGCCTTTAAGGGAGCTTGTGGGATCAACCTAGCATGGACCTTGCAGGGGAGGAGTGTTCATCCTGAGCGTTTCTGGGCCACACTGTCATCTAGGAAGGCCTTCTTTCTTGCTGCATTGGCCAGTATGATGGTACTCTTGTCATAGGGTAATGTGAAAGCATTATAGTAAGAGAAGATATACAGATGAATGACTGTATTTGTTCGCACACGCAGCCTTTTTTTTTTTTTTTTTTTTTTAAGATTTTACTTTTAGGTAATCTCTACACCCCGTGTAGGGCTCTTACGACCACAAGATCAAGAGTCGCGTGCTCCACCAACTGGACCAGTCAAGCACCCCTTGTACACTCAACTTTTTTTTTTTTTTTTTTTTAAGATTTATTTATTTGAGAGAGAGATCTTTGGGGGGAAGGGGCAGAGGGAGAGGGACAGAGTTTGTTTTTTTTTTTTTTTTTAAGATTTTATTTATTTATTTGACAGAGATCACAAGTAGGCAGAGAGGCAGGCAGAGAGAGAGAGAGGAGGAAGCAGGCTTCCCGCTGAGCAGAGAGCCTGATGCGGGGCTTGATCCCAGGACCCTGGGATCATGACCTGAGCCGAAGACAGAGGCTTTAACCCACTGAGCCACCCAGGCGCCCCAGGGACAGAGATTCTTAAGCAGACACTGTGTTAAGTGTAGAGCAGTGTAGAGCCCAACGTGAGGCTCCATCTCGTGATCCTAAGATCACAACCTGAGCCGAAAGCAAGAGTCGAATGCTTAACTGACTGCTTCACACACAAGCCCTACACACAACTCTTAAACACATTATCTTTGAACCCTTTCAATAAAGGATTTACTTCTCAAAGAGTGTGTGTCTAACTCCTACAAAGATGTTAAGAAAATCAGTGTTCAACCTTGGGAGCCAGAGGGTTGCCATGTTTTATTCTTTTTTTTTTTTTTTTTTAAGATTTTCTAAAACTTAATGTATTTATTTGACAGAGACACAGTGAGAAAGGGAACACAAGCAGGGGGAGTGGGAGAGGGAGAAGTACACCTCCCGCCAAGCAGGGAGCCCAATGCGGGGCTTGATCCCAGAACCCTGGGGTCATGACCTGAGCCAAAGGCAGATGCTTAATGACTAAGCCACTCAGGTGCCCTGCCATCTTTTATTCTTAATATATCTTTTGGCTTAGAAAAACAGTCTTATCAGAAAAAAGGGAGAAGGGTTAGGGTGAGGAGGAAGCTTTTGGATTTGAAGTTCTTGGAAGTAGCTAGAAGTATTAATCCCTAAATCTGTCTACCACACCCCTTTCTAGTTGAATTGATCCTCTGCCCTTGGAGTTGTTTGAACAGTGGAGCTGTTGGTTGGGTGGGACTGATTCTGGAATGCCCTGATGATATTTGGGTATGCTAATTCCTTTTTCATCCTATCTTCTAGAATGCCCTTGCAGTGAGGAAATCAGTGATACCTCTCAGGAACCTTCTCCACCTAAGGCATTTGCTGTCACCAGGTGCGGGTCCTCGAATAAGCCTGGGGTCCATATGAGCCCACAGCTCCATGGCTCAGAATCTGGAAACCATAAAGGGAAAGTGAAAGTATCCGGTAAGGAGACTGTCTGCTGACTTGTTCATTTGTATAGCAGTGTAGTTGGAGAAGGCTGGATTTATGTTGACACTGTAACTTACTCCCCAGGCCCTCTGCAAGTATAAGTCTGTTACATTTTAAAATAAAGAAGTATGTCAGATAAACCAAAGGCAATTAGCTGTGCCTTTCCTGAACTTCTCTTCTCTCCAACTTTGGTTTTAGTTGAATGCCTCTTAGGTTCGTCCAGGCCAGTAACCCCCAAAATCCATTATACCCCATCCTCTCGCATGCCTGCCCTTTTCATTGCTCCATTTCTTATTCATGGACTCTGCATCTAACCTGGTTGCTTGGGGATATCTGAGTCAACATATGAAGCTGCTGCTTTTCCAGCAATTTAGAGGTTGATTGTGAATTTGGAAAGAGTTAGCAATTATATGGAAAGTACTTGCAGCAGTGTCTGGTACAAAGGAAATGATCAGTAAATGTTAGCTGTAATTATAACTAATCAGGCACCAACATCTAGTGATTCTAGTTCTGATTATCCCTGGAATCTGCCCCTTTTTCCTTTCCTATTGTTGACAGAGTTTTAAAGGTGGCTCTGGATGGAGATTTAACAGTAAGCCAGGTCCTGGCTGGAAGGGATGAGGTTGAGGAACATCTTTGAGTCATTAGGATGATGATATGTGTAGTTCATGGGGCGTTGTAGCCTCTCTGCCGATGAGCTCTGTGACCTTGAGGTGCCACTTACTTTGGGCTTCGCTCTCAGTAAAATGAGGAATGGAATTCAGTTCATCACCAGACAGCATGCATCATTTGGGCTATTGCTAGATGACAGGCCCAGGGAACAGACTGGAGTTCCTGTTTCCCAGCTCTGTGAAAGTTCATAGAGGAGTGGGGCTGTAAGGTCACTTCTGCTCTTGACATTCTAGGTTTTTTAAAATTTTGCAATTATAATTTAAAAAAGTGACTGTTGTTTTTCCTTTCTTCTCAGAGGAAGATAATTTGAGTGAGTCCTCTTCTGAGAGCTTTCTTTGGAGCGATGAGGAGTATGGTCAAGATGTTGACGTGACCACCAACCCAGATGAAGAACTTGATGGGGATGACCGCTATGATTTTGAAGTGGTCCGCTGCATCTGTGAGGTTCAGGAGGAAAATGACTTCATGATTCAAGTAAGTAGAGCTTCCAGGAGACAGGCATAGGGAAACGTAAACTGGTCCTTGGAAGGAATTTGCAGGGACTGCAATTTGAGGACAGCAGACGTAGAGTCATGTTAGAAGCCCCAGCCAGGTAGGCACTATTACCAGCAGCACGCTGAGCTTATTACTTTATAGTTCAGCTTCCTCTGAATCTCAGGCTGGTGTAAATAGCCTATTATTAGAATGAGAGAGGACTTGAAACATCACTGAGTCTGGGACCGACAAACGGGAAGGGCCTTGCCTGTGGTCACACAGTGAGGAGTTGAACAGCAGGGATCCGAATCTCTGGAGTGGCAGTTGAATCTTCCTATGGTCCCTTACTTTCTCTCTGATGTAAAATTTCTATATGGCCTTAAGAAATGGAGGCCAGTTTCATAACTTGTCTGTTTCTTGTTCTTTATTTTCCTGACACTTGTATCTGTCATTTCCATCTCTGGGATGTGCCTGTGGGGTAGGCCTCCCTTTCTGCTTGGGGAGAGCATCACTGGCCAGCACCTGCTTGCCTCTGGCCCTTTTCTTGCTTTTAATGACAGTTTCAGTGAGGTGGCTGCTGGCCTGCTGACTTAATACCCCGCATGTCTTGGCAGCTGCCTGGACTGTCCAGGGAACCTGAGTTGTTCAAGTAAGTCATGGTTATATTGGTCAGGATTCTTTGGAAATTTCTTTGTTTTTCAGTAGCCTTCATGGTAACCTCTGGGAATTCAGAGTACATAAATGGTCTCAAATAGTATCTGATATTTATGACCTTTAGTAAGCCTTAGGTCAGTGGTTTTCAATCCTTTTAAATAACAGAACGCATTTTCTGAATGGATTCTTTCATAGAGCCACAAAATGTATAACAAGTTTAAAAGCATTAGTTTTGAAAGTTCATAATAGGTCATCTTCACTTTTGAGTTCAGAAATGTGAATGGTGTGCTTTTTCCCATGAAGTCTGATATGCAATCAGGTTTGTGTGTGACAGTTGCCATCTTGAAGTATGTCAGTGATTCAATAGTTTTCCTTTTTGTGAGACATGGCCATTTGTATGGGTGACTTTTCCTAAACAGCATGCTGTGTAATCACTGATTAATGAGATGGGAAGGAAAGCTTTGTTCCAAGTGTAGCACAATGCTGAGCTAGCCTAGCAGTACAGAGTTATGGATACTGGTGGGTTGTGTTGTTTTAAGTTTAAGTTTGGGAAACATTTGAATGTGCATTTTTGGTTTTAATTTTTAAAAATAGTCTTGTTTTTAAAAAAGATACTCATTTGCAGAACCTCTGAAGCTTAGTGGACTACAATTTGAAAACTCTTATATAACATGGAAACTATCTAAGTAGAAGTTTTTTTTTTTAATTTGGTTTTTGAAAGGATGTTGAAGATGGTTAATTTCTATCCTGTCTCTCTGGGCATGTAGTCAGTTCTGGGTCTTGGAAGTCTGATTTCATCTTCATTTGTCCGTAGAAATCTTTGGTGGGTGAGTAATGAAGGCCCTTTCTGGCAGGGCTCTTCCAGCTCATCAGTAGAAGAGACCTAGTTCTGATCTACTGTGTTTTCCCACTGACTTTTCTATAAGTAGCAAGGATGATGGGGTGTTCAGGGAGGTAGACCTTGGTGTGGCATTATATGGTATGTGAGGAAACTTAAGTTTGGAGCTGCTGAGGCCATACCAGGTGTTATAGGACAGAGTCAGGAACTGCTTTCATCTCCAGCTTCCCAGGCTCTGCATGACCTTCCCCTAGCTCAGCTCAGCTCAACGCTTGTGGCTTCCTATGGTATTGTGATGAGCTCACTTCAAAACACCTTATATTTTGCTGTAGAAGACTTTTCTCTGCTGTCCCCTTGCTGTCTAGAGCTGGCTTTGTGGTATAGAGGGACAGTTTTTGACTTTCTCTGTCATTATGAGCAATGTACCTTTTCCACTCAGTAACTTTAGTAAAAGACATACATTTGGAGGGAGCTCTGGAACAAATGTAATTTAAACTTTGTAAATATATTCATCATCTAGTTTTAAATGTATTTGTCGTCTAGGAATGTTCAGTGATTATTTTTTAAATAATTTTTTTTACTTATATTGGTAATTTGCACTACGCTAAAATACATTTATTTTTTAAAAGATTTTTATTTATTTATTTCTCAGAGAGACACAGTGAGAGAGGGAACACAAGCAGGGGGAGTGAGAGAGGGAGAAGCAGGCTTCCTGCTAAGCAGGGAGCCTGATGTGGGGCTCGATCCCAGGACCCTACGATCAGGACCCAAGCTGAAGGCAGGTGCTTAACACCTGAGCCACCGTGGCGCCCCTACTCTAGCATATATTTAGAGTTTATTTCCTAGAAGAGGCATACATTGCTTTAGAGGAGTAATGTTCTCTGATCATTTTCATTATTTGATTGGTATTAACATTATTCAAGTAAATTATTATTTGATTTTATTTACCAGTGGCAATAATTTAAATCATTGGGAGGTTAAAGTCTTAATTAATAATCATGAATGTTTGAGAAATCTGGGTACCACATAAAAATGAACCTCAGGAATTCCATTTGATATTTAAATTATTTTAATTGTTACAGGAAAGGTTTGGGCAAACGCTTTCTTAAAGGGCTAGGTGATAACTATTGTAGGCTTTGAGGGTCCTGTGTTCTTTGTTGCAGCTACTCAGCTTTGCCCTGGTCAGCCATAGGCATTATGTAATAAATGAACATGAATGTGTTCATATGATACTTTACTTAGAAAAACAGGGCATGAACTGAATTTAGCCTCTGGGTGTAGTTTGCCCTAGACTAACAAATATATATTAGGTGCCAAACCCAGTAAAAGTTGTGTAGCAGTTTTAACCAGAAGTCCACTTTAAAAGCTTTGTTTTAAGATTTGTATTATTTAGTTGTTGCTAGCTAGAGCATTCATATAGTTCAAAGTCCAAAAAAGTATATATGGGTTTGGAGAAAAAAATCTGACCCCCAGCTTGCCTTCATGGGAAGCACCCTTTGTCAGCTTCTTGTGTAGCATTCTGGAAACACTCCATGGCTCAGCAAGCAATAACAAATGTATTCTCTTCCTCCACACCACCTTTTCAATTACGTGGTAAAATGACATAAAATTGACCATTTTTAAGTGTATGTGGCATTAGATGAATTGAGTACATTTACATCGCTGTGCAACCATCTTTTTTTTTTTTAAAACACAGTTATATAGTATTTTCAATATCTTTTCTCATTTAACAATATATGTTGAAGCCTATTTCATTTCAAACAGAAAAAAAGCTTCTTTATTCTTTTTTATGGCTGCATCATAGATGGATCATCATTTATTTAACGCTTCGCATGTTGATGACATTTAGATGGTTTCTAACCTTAACAGTAATGTAATGAATAATTTTGTGTAAGTACACCTGTTGGACCAAGTTTTGAAAGTAGAATTCCTAGGCCACAGATAATGTGCATGTATAATTTTGATAAATATTTCTATTTGTTGTTAGCAATATTATATAAACTCTCTGTGGAGGCTGTGCCAGTGAACAGTCTTAGGAGCACCCTTTTCAGTATAGGTTATCATCAGACTTTATCTTTGCTTTTCAGATAAGAACAGCACTTGGGTAGCTCATTCCACTGAGCGCTCAGCTCTTGATTTCAGCTCAGATCATGATCTCAGGGTGGTGAAATTGAGTGCCTGGTCAGGCTCCATGCTCAGCAGGGAGTCTGCTTGAGATTCTCTCCCTCTCTTTCTGCCTCTCCCCCTGCTGGCACACCATGAGTGCTCTCTCTCTCAAATAGAAAAAATCTTAAGAAAAAAAAGATAAGTGAAAAAATAGTCTGTTGGTATAGCCACTTTGTAATTTTTTAAAAAAGATATTTATTTGAGAGAGAGTGGGCATGAGCCTGAGCTGTGGGGGAGGGACACACGGAGAAGGAGTAGCAGACTCCCAGCTGAGAGGGGAGCCCGATATGGGGTTCGATCCCAGGACCCTGCTATCATGACCTGAGCTGAGGGCAGACGCATAACTGCCTGAGCCACCCAGGCGCCCATGTAATTTGTTTTTTTAAATAAATTTTTAAAAATTTCATATTTGTAGCATTTGGAAAACACAGAAAATCACAAAGAAGAAAACAATTACCCAGATTATTTTTACCTAGAGATAAGCAGTGTTAATATTTTGGAATACACATACACATATATATATATAAATGAAAATTATGCTCTGTAAATATTTCTTCATGAGAATAACACTTTTAGGATAAAAGCAAATGTTTATTATAAAAACTTCAGGTAGTACATTAAATGTATAAAGAATTACTTGATATTTATATGTAATCCCCAAACTTAGAAATACTAAAGTATCTACATGTTATTGGTCTGGTTGATTTCACATTAATTATATTAACTCAAATAACTATTCATTAATTCTTTTAGTGGTTGATTTGAACATCTTTTTTCTTTAAGAATTAGATATTTTCCTTTGACCTGTCTGTTCATGTCCTTTATCCATTTTTCTGTTGGATGGTTGGTCATTTTCCTACTCATTTGTATAGGCTTTTTTAGACCTTGTTTTGTATTGGCTGCAAAAACAGTTAAAACTACTTGTACCCACTCTGTCATCTGTCAGATTTTTTGTTTTTATGAGTTGACTATATCAAACTTTCCTTTAATGGCTTTTGAAATTTAAATAACAGTTGCTTCCTCATTGGAAGTTCATAAAAGTTTATAGAAAAATTTGTAACAGAATTTGCTCGTGGTTGATTCTGGTACTTTTAAAGTTCCACTTAATCTTCTTAAAGTGATGTAAATATTTGGTCCACCTGGAATTTATCCTGGTATAAGGTGTAAGGGCCATAACTACCCAGTTGTCCCAACACCATGCCCTGTTACTGAAATGTCACCTTCGTTTATTTTATTTCCATATGTGTTTGGATTGCTTTTTAGATTCTCCTTTTCCATTGATCTGTCTGTGTATTTGCTTATACAATTCTATTTTAATTATTTTACCTTTATAATATTCTTAAAATATCTGATAGGGCTTGTACCCCCTTTTGTTCTGTTTTATAAATTTCCTATTAATTTTAGGATCACCTTCTATCCAGTTCTACAGCTATTCACTTACTCTTTATTTGGTACTACATTATTTTTACAAATTTACCTAAGGAGAAAGGACTTCCTTTTGATGACTCCTGCTATCTAAGAATACGATATTCCTTACCATTGACTTAAGTCTTTGTGTCCTTTAAGTAGTTTAAAATTTTCTTCACAGAGATCTTGTATGTTTTATTCTTAGATATTCTTAGATATCTTAGATATTCTATTCTTAGTCTCGGGTTTAGTCTTTTCAAATTTTCTTCACAGAGATCTTGTTTGTTTTATTCTTAGATATCTTAGATATTCTATTCTTAGTCTCAGGTTTAGTCTTAGATACTTTATCTTTCCTGTTATTATTCTTGTTCATTTCTAAATTTAAACTTTTAAAAATGAATAATTTTTTTAGCCAAACCCATACGAAAAAAGTTATTTTGAAGTTTTCAACTTAGCTGTCTTTGATTGAATTTTAGCGAATCCCAGTTCTCAAGAGATTTCCAAACTTACTGGTGAGACAGACATTCATTCTTAATTCTGTTTTCTACAGCTAACTCTTTGTTATTGTGTGGTGTTTACTTTTTCCCTGAGCCTTTAGTTCCTTCATCTGTAAATTAAAGAATTTGCATCAGATTTTAGCTAATGTCTGTCTTCCAGCTTTGCCTCTGTTGATTCTGATGCAGTTGGCTTCCTAGGGGATTATCTGCCAGGAAAGCCTTCTTGATGCTAGGGCCTATCTGGCTCCAAATGTCTGAGCTTTGGAGTTTGGAGTTTAGTCCCTTGTGGCCAGGCTAGTGGCCCACCTTCAAGGCCATGCTGGGAAGGAAGCTCATTGCCCGCCTTCCAGAGCTGTCTGTCTGTTTGCATAGTTAAAAGTCTTAGGGTCCTGGTTTGAGATTCCATGAAGTGTCCTCATATCTCATTTGGCATGGTATCTCATTTGGCATTGTTTTTACTTTCCATTCCCTCCAGACCCTTAGCCCTCAGGCTTACTATCCTCAGGCCATCCACAGGGGTGCCTTCATTATCTGCTCCTTTCTTTCCCTCTGGCCTCCTGCCCCTCCTCCCCACTCTCCCTCTGGCCCCTTACCCAAGTAAGGCAGTGGAACTAGCTTTGCTGTTAGCCAGGCCTGTGTTCTGATCCACTGTTGCCTCTCCTCAGCTGTGTGACCTTTGGTAAGATTGAGAGAGAATAAACTCGAAGTGCTAGCATGGGATTATTCCAGGAGGTATCAAAGTAAATTAGGTTGCCTAGTTGTAGTAGTAATAGGTGCATGAAGGCTGTGTACTGGGCTCCTTGATGGGAGTTTTTATATATGACCCCATAATTCCTCACAAACAGCCCCCATGGTCAGTAGGTGAGTACCCCATTTTGCAAGTAGGGAAGACTGAAGCCCAGGGAGAAGTGACCTGTGTAAAGTCATACAGCTAATGAATGAGCTATAATTCAGATTCAGGTTTTTGTCTTTCCAGTTTAATCTTCCTCTAGGAACTTGAACATTTCCCCTCTGTTCTCATAATGTGATCAGAAAAGTGAAAGTCTCTAGAAATGGGAGTGAAAATAGTCATTCTTTGAGATCACTGTTTTATAGATCTAAATGGTCTTCATCTGTGCTGTCTGGTACACCAGCCACTAGCTTCACGTGGCTTTTGAGCACTTAAGTTGTGGCTAATAGGACTAAGGAGCTGAATTTTAACTTAATTTGTTAATTTAAATATAAAGAGCCACAGGTGGCTAGTGGCTGCCACCATGGCCGGCACAGTTGTTGATAAGGGGTTGTAGCTCGACTCCTGAGTAGGTCATTTGGGAGTCCTCTCCCTCCCCTTTTCTTCTCCCTCTCACAGCCCCTCCCCCCCACAGTGCATCTTGCTTTTGGATGGAGGATACCTTCTGAGTTTAATTTTTATTGCTTCTTTAATTCTAACAGTGTGAAGAGTGCCAGTGCTGGCAGCATGGGGTCTGCATGGGATTACTGGAAGAAAATGTGCCTGAGAAATACACCTGTTATGTTTGCCAAGACCCTCCAGGTAGAGATTTCTGGAGTCAGGGATATTAACAGTATGTAACCTTTTTCACAGCTGGCCATGGAGCAACCTCACTGTCTGTGATATTGAGACTTATTTCGTCGACATTGGCTAGACTGACTCCTCCTTGCCCCTGTTGCTAGCTCACCTGGTGGACTGCTGTCCTGAACTTAGCAGTGAGAGAGTATGTGGGAAGCCTGTGGAAAGCCTGGCCTTGAGCTAGAATTACTTTTTTATTATAGTAAAAATTATATGAGATCTACCCTCTTAACAAATTTTTAAGTGTACAGTACAGTATTGTTTCTGAACTATAAACACAGTGTTGTACAGCAGATCTCTAGAACTTTTTCCATCTTGCATGACTAAAACTGTAAAAAGCTGTGGAATGCTTTCCAGATTTGCCTGTCATCCTTGCCTTGCTTAGGTGCCATGCCACTCTTCTCTGTATTGAGCTAGTTTTAGAATGTGTGCTGCTGGAGCAAGCATCTTTTCCTGTTACTGAGGGTTCATGAAGATGTGGGCTCTGTCTTTGGCTTTTTTAGGAACCTGCCTCTGCTCCCTCTGGTGGCACCTGCCCTCCATTGCATCATTGCCACATGGAAGAGAGAGAGGCCCTTGAGGGGAAGGGAAAAGGTGTTTTGATAGGGCTTGACTGCTACCCAAACCAGTGAATAATTCCTTCAACAGGATCATTTAGTTTCATTGTTCCATGGCCACATGACTGGCCTGTGGCTCTTGGATTCCCTTTTCCGGAAGTCTTATATATCTGTGGTTCTTGTCCTGCTGTCAGTGGGATGGTGGTATCTTTTCCCTTCACCACCTGTAAGGTTTCTCCCCTTGGCTCCAGTTCCATGATCCCAAGGCTAGGCAAGGCTAGACAATGCTTAAGTGCCTCTACTTCTGTGGATCCTTTCTGTCCTATGGGGTGGTTCTGGGGGGAGTTCCTACTCCTGTTTTTGCTTACGATGAAGAAATTGATGCCCAGGGACATGAATGACTTTCCCAATCTCATAAAGCAAATTGGAATTAGAACTGACTCATGGGGTCAGATTTTGATTTTGCTGGTTGTGTAGGGAGGGGCTAATCACTGTAGTTTGTGTTCTAACAGGTGTGTCCTCTTGAGATCTGATGACCTCTGTTGTGACACTATATCTCCTTGTGCTAGATTAGTCCATAGATGGAGAGGGATCTGTTTCTCTCTTTATCCCAAGGAAAGAATATGGTCAGAAGATGAGTCTGTGAACCACAAATTATTATTAATGGGCAGGATCTGAGAGACCACTTAGTTCAGCCCTGACATTTGATAGGTGAGCAAATATAGGCCCAGAAGGGACATGACGGGGCTAAGATCAGCAGCAAGTTAGTGCCAGATAGGAGATGAGAACCATGTTCTTTGACCTTCGTTTTGTAGAGCAGGTGGGACTACTCTGAATCCTGCTGCTCAGGCCACTTGTGCAGCAGCTGCCTCTGAGATGCCACACATAATCCCTCGGGCTCCTTAGCACTGCTTAAAAATCTCTTTTGTCTACTTTATTATCTCCCACTCCTCCCCTCTCTCCATTTTTCCCTTTTTACAAATCATGCACCCCATCTTCATCAACTCCTCTCTATACTTGCTGAACTTTTACAACTCTAACTGCCAGTGCTGTAAATAGACTCCTCCTGGAGTCGAATGCTCTGTGTCCTTTACATTCATATTTATAGCCTGTGTTTGACTCTGCCGTGTCTTGGACCAGAAGTTTAACCTAACAGATTTATTCTTTAAAGGTTACTTAAAGATGTTTTTTACAGAATGGAGGTATATCCATACCATGTGTTTAGTAAAGCTAGAAAGAGCCCAAGGACCTTGATAGGAATTATGTGGGTTATTTCAGGGTTTTTATAGATATTGGGAGGTAAATGGTTGTCTGGTTGAAAGCTGTTCCTTGAGCATTTGGAGCAGGAAATACTGCCGAGTCACATGTAGTTGTTTTCAGTTCTTCCTAAGGATCCTTGTGATGAGCAAGACCACTAAAACTATCCAGTTCCTCTGTCATTGTAATAGATGGGAGATGGAGGTTCAGAGAAGGGAGGGCGCCTGTCTGTTTATATTTAGTAAGGCGGTGTAGGTGGCAGTTGAAAGGGGGACTTGGAGCTTCTTTCCACTTGATAAATCCATTCGAGATGTCCTTTACCAGATGCTGGGGATACAACCACAGACAAGATGGTTCCTATTATTCTTGATCTTAGTGGGGTTGGGCCAGAAACAGGTGTCAAAATAAGTCAAATAAGCAAAAAGATGTTAGATAGGGTTGAGTGCTTTGGCTGGAGAGTTTAGCATCCAGATAGGGAATGAGTTAGGAGGTGTTGAATTCTTACTTTGAAGGTAACAAAAGGCCTGAGGAAGTGGAAAGATGCCAGTCCTTCAGGGGCTCTAGACAGAGGATGCTAGAGCATAGATCCTAAGACTGAAAAGATGGATGTGTTCCAGGAACTGAAAGGAGACCATTGTAAGGGCTGTGAGGGTGGGGCAAGGAGGGCAGGAAGGATCTGGGTCCAGTTGGTTCATTAGGCCAGTGTTAGGGCTTTTTTTTTTTTTTTTCCCCTGTATGCAGTGAGAAGTCATTGAGGGTTTTAAATAGGAGATGCAATGATGTGATTTAAATTTAAAGAGATACCCAAGTTCCCATTCCACCTCTGGCCTGTTCTTAGGAGATCAGGAAATTTACATGTCTTATTGCCTTATTTCCCATCCCTAATTGGAGCCCAGGATATAGTAGGTACCAAGTAAATGTTTATTGGATGAATAAATAAAATGAACACAGGAATCCATCCTTCCAGTAATTTGTGTGATATTGTACAATGATGCAGGGGTCTGGGTTTCCTTCAGGCCAAGTATTAACTCTCTCATTGTCACTGCTTTAGGTCAGAGGCCTGGCTTCAAGTACTGGTATGACAAGGAGTGGTTGAGCAGGGGACATATGCATGGCCTGGCCTTTTTAGAAGAGAACTACTCCCACCAGAATGCTAAGAAGATTGTGGCTACCCACCAGCTTCTTGGCGATGTGCAGAGAGTGATCGAGGTTCTCCATGGCCTTCAGCTCAAGATGAGCATCTTGCAGTAAGTGTGGCACCTACAGCTTTGAGGATGAGGCTGATTTGACATGGTTTGGCGGGGCAGAGTGGGGTGGTTGGTGGGCGGGAGGATAAATTTGAGATTGGAAAGCCACAGAATCAGTGATAAGACCAATGAGTTTGAGACCTTTACTAAAAATTTTCAGTTACTTCCCAGCCTTTTGGCTAAGGTCAAGTGTAGTGTCTGTTCTTAGCAGTTTAATATCTAATATGTCCTCTATCCAAGGACAATACAGTAAATGGATTTTGGAACTAGGAGACGGAATGGGAGCTTGCTCCATCCTCTCCATCCATTGATCTGGTATTGCAGCTCTTCCAGGAAGGGTGTGCCCCCTCAGGGGGGAAAAATATGTCAGTCTCACAATAAACATTCTTTTTTTTTTTTAAATTCAACCATATTGAGGTAGAATTTATATATAATTAAGTTTGCTCATTTTACAGGTTCATTGAGTTTTGACGGCTTGCAGCTGCCACCATAATCAAAATATGGTGTATGTATTTGTAATTTAGTTTGTTTACTGTTCTAGGGTATAGTTCTGAATTTTTTTATTGTGGTAAAATATGCATAATATAAAATTCGTGTTTTATAAATTTGTAAATAGTCTTAACTATTTTTAATATATAGTGCAGTAGTGTTAAATAAATTCACCTTGTTGAAACCAATCTCCATAACTCTTCCTCTTACAGAATTGCAACTCTGTATGTTTTAAACAACTTCTCTCCACTTTGCCTCCTCCCCACCCCTGGCAACCACCATTCTACTTCGTGTTTCTGTGAATCTGACTACTCTAGATACCTCATATAAATGGGATCCCACAGTATTTGTCTTTTTTGTGACTAGCTCATTTCACTTAGCATGGTGTCTTCAAAAATTCATCTGTATTATAGTCTGTATCAGAATTTTCTCCCTTTTTAAAGGCTGAATAATATTCCATTGTAGGTAGTGTTGGATTTTGTTTATCCATTCATCCTTAATACCCTTGACTGGTAAACAAAGTAAAATTGAAAGCTGCTGGGAGAGATAATATTGGCAGGCCTGCTGTCCAGCATAGTGGTTGCTCAGTAAGTCTTTCTCTTCATGGTTTGCTCATGCAAAGTTTTAAGTGTTCTAGAACTGGACTTTTGGCTTTTAGGGACTTGAAGTTTCAGGAGTGAAATTGAGTGTGAATTCCGGCTTCTGTGGCTACATTCTATGTGTCAAGATGATCCAAGTTCCTGTAAGCTCTGAGAAAGACATGTAGCTCTTATTGGGGTCCCTTGTCTTTCATAATGTACCCCCACTTTACCAAATAGTGATTTGGGACCTTGCATGAGGCAGCTGCTCTCCCATGATTTCCATGGGTAGAGTCAGGTCTAGAATTCCAGGCCTGGGTCCTGTCAAGTACTTGGCCTAACCTTTCTAACTTCCTCTCAGTGTTCCATGCATTTTCTTCTGGTATCAGCACAGTCTGTGTCAGACAGCTTCTCTTATGTAAATATTTCTCAGGTTTTCCCATGGACTTGCTCGTAGGGGGCCATCTTAGTTAAGACATCAACAATGACAGACTCGTGCCATAAATGAGTTAGGCATGACAGGCTCCTCAACAAGATTTCCTTTGTGCAAGTTAGTCCTGGAGGACCCTCAGCCTCAGACAGAGTGTCAGAGCCCTGGGTTGGAAAACCGGGGATCTGCTTGCCCCCGCATTCTGGTGCAGAAGCGTGCTGACTTCAAGAACTGGCACAACAAGGAGTGGTTGTGCAAGGGCACATTCAGACATGGTATATATTGGTTTGGGTAAAAGCTAAGGTGCTATAACAAAGACCCAAAAAACAAAGGCTGAAACAAAGTGGAATCTTCTTTGTCACATAATGAATGGTCCATGGGTAGTCAGGGCTCCAGGCCAGGGAGGTGGCCTTTTTCCAGGATGCCATCTGGGGACCTGGGGACTTGGGTTCCTTCTCTCTTATTGCCCTGGCATTCCATTGGGGCATTCTCATCTGCATGATCAAAACAGCCTCACCAATACCTCAACTGTTCTAGCCCCCCGGTCAGGGGAAAGAGGGGAGAGCAGGCAGCTTTTTTCACGGACGCACCTAACTGCAGGGAAGGCTAGCCATATGGTCTGTTTGAACCCAGGAGGGAGGATTGAGGTGGGTATAAGAGAAGGGGAAAATAGTTGCTGGGGAAAGTTTGCTATCACTGTGACACTATCTGTTGAGATGAACCAAATCAAGTGACAGCCCTGGGTAAGATATCAGAGATAAGCTGGGGGCACCTGGGTGGCTCAGTCAATTAAGTGTCTGACTCCTGATTTTGGCTCAGGTCATGATCTCAGGATTGTGGGACTGAGCCCCTTGTTGGGCTCTGTGCTCAGTGATGAGTCTGCTTGAGATTCTCTCTCTCTCTCTGCCCTCTCCCCCCACACTCACATGTGCTCTCTTTGAAATAAATCTTTAAAAAAAAAATGGCAGGGCACCTGGGTGGCTCAGTTGTTAGGCGTCTGCCTTCAGCTCAGGTCATGATCCCAGGGTCCTGGGATTGAGCCCCGTATTGGGCTCCCTGCTCCTCAGGAGGCCTGCTTCTCCCTCTCCCACTACCCTGCTTGTATTCACTCTCTCGCCGTGTCTCTCTCTGTCAAATAAAGAAGTAAAATCTTAAAAAAAAAAAAAATGGCAGAGACAGGCTTTTCCCTCACATTTTATAAAATCAGAAAACTTTACCCCATACATACCAAATTAATTTCTTCTTAATGAGATGTCAGAAATTGAGGCAGGTAGAGGGTGGTCCGTGTGAGGGCCTGGAAAAATGTCAGTGAGGCTTAAGATTGTAAACTGTGCTGTATTTCTTTTCATTTGAGGATTCAACCAGTCAATGTTTCTTCATACTGAAATGCCAGTGCTCCTGGCCCTATCCCATATTCTGGAACCTTGTCCTTTTTGAATCCCCATTTAGGCAGTGACTTTGTGCTGGAATTAAATCTGACTTCTGGCAGTTCAGAAGAGGGCATAGGGAGATCTTGTTCATCATTATATGTGGAGAAAAGATTCTGGGCAGTGGTGGGGGGATGGGGGATGGTGGCGGTCCCAGTATGTCTGTGTTCACATGGGTAATCTCTGCTGTCACAAACTCTGGGTCCTCATTCTCAGATATATCTGTTCCTGAGTGGCCTGGTGGGTTTATTTTCTAAGGCAAACAATAAAACTGGGAATAACTTCAGAGTGTCTGTTGTCATTTAAAAAGTAACATGCATGTCTGTACATTCCTTCTTCATGATTGGCAGGGTATACAAAGAAAGTCCAGGGCATTATTTTTGTATGGAGTAGTAGCTGGGGCTTGAGGTCTTACCTGGAAGGGCAAAAATTCGAGGACGGGGGAAGCAAAGACTTGTGATTTTCATGCAAGAGAATGTCCATACTGTGGGTTATATGCTCCAGTTAACAAATTTCAGGCTACACAATAAACCTGAAAATTCACAATGACTCTCATTTCTTCTGATGCAGTTGCAATTTCAGAGGTGTGTCTGGAATCTTGGTTTCCTGGTATAGGCTGTGATACCCTGCTGGCAGTGGTCCAGGGACCTAGGCTGCCTTGATACTCACAGTTTCCTGTCCTTCTCCAGTGGAAGAGGGGTGTTGGTGATTGGTGGAGAGGGAGAGCTGAGGATGCTTGTAGCTCCTTGGGAGCAGAATTTTAGATTCTGTAGGAGCACTCCGTGCTTTCATATGTGTGGCCTATTCCATTCGTGCAGGAAGGCTTCAGTCAAGTGTGTGTGGAGTATCCATAGATGGGAGTTGCTGGTGAGTTAAGCTGTGCTTTCCTGCTGATCTGGTTTCAGTGCTTTTCAGCTGGAGGCTGGGAAGGTACAGTTGACTATATGGTGGGGCGATTCTTCTTTAGCCCCATCATGTGTGATTATTCCAACCTTTATAGGATGTTCAGCATCTTTGGATTCGGTGAGCTAAATGCCAGTAGTACCTGTCAGTTGTTGTGGCAGTTAGAAAGGTCACTACACATTTCTGCCCGTCTCTGAACCAAATGTGAGTAGCACCTGTCTGTTTATTTCCAAATGCTCTCTAGAGGGCAGTGCCCTCCCAGCTAGGAACTCTGGTATCTAACTGATGAGCCTCACTCAAGAAAACCACTGTTTTTTTTTCCTTCCCTCCCTCCCTTTTTCCTTCTTTTCATTTAATGATCAAAGGTAATAGTGGAAGTTCTGGGTAGTAAAGAAGAGTTAAAAGGTGAAGTTTATCTAGAGTAGTGGTTTTTAAACTTACTAAAATGTATATTCCACAGTAAGAAATAAAAAAGTTTTATGTTACTCACATATATAAAACTGAAATTAAAATTTCACAGAATATCTACTGTTACTTAGAATGGTACATTATGATATTTTTCTGTTCCGTTTTCCTTTTTCTACAAGTGATTATGCTGCTCACTTCGGCAGCACATACACTAACATTGGAACAATACAGAGAAGGTTAGCATGGCTCTTGCACAAGGATGACACGCAGATTCATGGAGCATTACAATTGATTATGATCCAGTAGATTAATTTATTAATCCTCTATTGGGTCAAAACTCAAACAGTGGGGCGCCTGGGTGGCTCAGTGGGTTAAAGCCTCTGCCTTTGGCTCAGGTCATGATCTCAGGGTCCTGGGGTCGAGCCCTGCATCAGGCTCTCTGCTCAGCAGGGAATCTACTTCCCCCTTTCTCTCTGCCTGCCTCTCTGCCCACTTGTGATCTCTGTCTGTCAAATAAATAAATAAAATCTTAAAAAAAAACACAAACCCTCAAACAGTGAATGATTGTGGGAGACTAAAGTGCTAACACAGAGTTTTATGTGCACATAAAGGCAGAGCTTTCAACACGTTCTAAAGGAAAGGAGTTTGTAGCTCAGAAAAGGATTAGAATCCCTGTTCTTTAATAACAAAGTTTTCTCCTTGGAATGGTGAGAGTTAAAGATTTTAGAAGAATTTTTAAAAACTTATTAATGGCTTATACGTAGATGACTTTGATTCCTGCCCCCTCAACCCATTGTCGTTGCATTTTTAAAAAGATTTTATTCACTGGAGAGAGAGAGAGAACAAGGGGGGAGGGGGTTGCAGGGACAAGCACATTTGACACTGGACTTAATCCCAGGACCCCGGGATCATGACCTGAGCTGAAATCAGACACTTAACCGATTGAGCCATCCAGGTGCCCCATCATTGCATTTTTGTATCTGAAAGTTAATTGCATGCCAGGATTATCATGCCTGCTTATTAGGTTATTTTTAGCAACTCACTTTGCTGCCAACAAAGTACTTTATTTGAATTAATTCACTTAATCTTTATCAAACTCATTGGCTAATGGCAGACAGATGGTTAGCCCGGTTTTGCAGAGGAGGAAATGGGAATGAGTCTGGCTCAGTGACTTGTTATAGCTGTACTGCTAATCAGTGGCTGAACTGAAATGGAGTCAGGTCTTTGACTCCCAAGTCCAATCTCACTCACCACAAGTGTTCACAGTGGGAGCTTGTCTACAGATGGTCTCCTCAGAGACCATGGATTTACGTTCCCTTTCGCTTGGTAAATGGTGGCTTGTGGCCAGGTGGGGAGCTCCTCTTCCTGTTGGGAGAGCGGGAATTGAGATAGCCCTGCACTGGTCCCAGTTCCTCCAAAGCCCTTTCTGTGTTTGCCTTCCCAACAGAAGCAGGGAGCATCCTGATCTGCAGCTGTGGTGTCAGCCTTGGAAACAGCACTCAGGGGAGGGGAGATCGCATTCAAAACACATCCACGTCACTGAAGCCAAGAGCAAAGAGGAAGTCCCGAGCTATAGAACTTTGAACGGGGCGATGGAAAAGCCCTTGCCCCTGGCCCTCCCCCGGTCTGTGGAGGAGTCCTACATCACCAGCGAGCACTGCTATCAGAAGCCCCGCGCCTATTACCCTGCTGTGGAGCAGAAGCTGGTGGTGGAGACCCGGGGCTCTGCCCTTGACGACGCTGTCAACCCCCTCTGTGAGAACGGTGATGATTCTCTCTCTCCACGTCTGGGCTGGCCTCTAGACCAAGACAGGAGTAGGGGGGACAGTGACTCCAAATCTAGCTCCCTAAAGGTATGTGGCTCACTTGTACTTGTTCTTCATTTAGTGTTTGAGTGCTTGAGCTCTCCTGTAGGGTTCTGTGGAAGGCACTTATTATAGAGTTGTACTTACTGTAAAATTGTATTTAAATGTGCTCATCATAGGTGTTTTTTGGTGGGTTAAAATGGGTTAAAATCAGGAAAGCCCGATTAAACCAGAGATCATGGTTATAGGAAATGCCGACAAAATGGCAGTCACTGGTGGTGGGGGTGGAGAGGTGGGAAGAATCGAGGAGAAAATTGTTGGTTGGTGCTTGTTAGGTAGGAAAATGAGTTTTTTCTTTAACAGGTTTATGTTGTAATTACACCTAGCTGCTAATTCTTAGCATGAGCAAAGAATGAGTCAGGTGTTTGGTTAGCCATAAAGTTTTCAATACAATTCTATGATAGCTTTCGTTTGACTTTAAACTTTGTAGCCCCGACATAAGAACAGTCCATTTTGTCAGAATATTTGCTGGTTTCGTCAACTTTCCCAAGAACAACTCTCATTTTTTTGTTATTCAAATCATGCTCTTCTAGAGCCTCTTTGTGTCATTTCCCTGCCAGTGTTGTCACCTTCAGCTGTTCACTGGGGTCATTCTGTGCTGTCCTCAGTTGGTCTGAGAAGCTTTGTATAACTGGAGAGTTTCTCCACCCTTGTCCTCCTTCCTCTCAAACTTTACCCTGTGGTTGGCATCACCAGCATTAAATATGATACTGCATATTTCCAAGTGGGACATCCTAGATTATAAGCCCCTCATGGGTAGGCATTGTGCCCTTGCCAGTGTCTAAACAGTGTGGTCAAAGTTGGTGAGGTTGGTCTTGGAGACAGACCTGGTTTCAAGTCTGGGCTTAGCCACTTACCATGTGATGCTGATCAGGTCACTTCACCTGCTTAGATATGCCCCTTCACCTCCCTGTGGGAGGGGCCAGTGCCCATGCCCTCTAGTTTTTGTGCAGCATGTCTGTGAAAAGCTATCAGCACAGAGCTTTGCACAGTCAGCTCTAATAAATACTAGCTTGACTCTGTTCATTTCAAATGAATGAAGGAAGGAAGGAAGGGTTGAGATCACCAACTGTAGAAAAGGGTTGTGATCCTACAAATGAGGCAGATTTCATAGAGGCATTTGCCATGTATTAAAAAATCAGAAAATACTGGCCCTAAACAAGTCAGCTAGGGTTAAAAATATCTTTCATTCATGGCAAGTTGACCATAGGCCAACACTGTGTTTTATAAACCTTATCCTATTTCATCCTCATGAACCTATAAGATAGGTTTTACTACTTCCATCAGAGGCTCAGAGAGAAAAAATAACTAATCCAAGCTCATACATTCAGCAAGACAAGGAGCTTGGACTTAAAACTAGTTTGTCTGACTCCTGCTAAGTAATATACTAACCCCTGTCTGCGCCCACCCTGCTCTGTTCTGAACTCAGGGCCCTAGAAGCCATTCCACGAGGCCCATTTCAGGCCTGGGACATTGGGCCGGTCACGGGGAAGCAGCAGTGACGCCTGTGCTGCCCTGAGGTGTTTGTGGTTGCTATACCAGGCATGCTTCTGCCTGTGTCCAAGACAGGAAGAGCGGGAGATAGAGGTTTGGAAGAGTCAAACTGCACCTGAATTTTCAGATGGTTGCAAACACTGGCTGGTTGGAGAAGAGGCTGGGACTGTCTCCACTCAGTAACTTTACTGCCATTGCATTCCTAGGTGAGGGAATATGTCTCCAAAAAGGTCCTACCCGAAGAAGCCCCCACTCGGAAGCTGCTGGACAGAGGCGGAGAGGGGCTACTGAGTTCCCAGCACCAGTGGCAGTTCAATCTGCTGACTCATGTGGAATCTCTTCAGGATGAAGTCACACACAGGATGGACTCCATTGAGAAGGAACTGGATGGTAGGGCTCCTTCTCTGGCTCTCCACAGATAGCTGTATTCTTGCCTCCTTTCTTTTCAGTCTCATCTACCCCCATCTTCCCTTTAGATGGGCAAGCTTTACTTTTTGCATTTGTCAGGCGCTTCTAAGGTCTGTGTGAAGTCAGGAGTCCTCCCTCAACTTACCTAGTGCCTGTGCAAAGCAGAGTGCAAAAGTGTAACTAGACTGCTGCAGGCAGTGTGTGACCTGAGCAACTTTGCTAACCAAGTTCTGTGGGGAATTTCAACTTTGACTTAATAGGGTTTTTGGATGTCTTTGAGGATGAATCTGAAGAAAGCCTTTTGTAAAATCTAAACCGCTGAAGCCTTCTCTTCTTTATCAGTAGAGATTTAAGAACTTGACTGAATCATTTGGGTAGTCCTGGGTGTTTCTCCCAGGTGTTAGTGGTAACAGGTGGGCCTGATAAACATGCTCAATGTTCAGTTTCTCTGATCCCTGGGAAGTTGCCAGTTTGATTTTTGAAGACAGAATTCCTTCTTGATTTTTTACTTATTTCTTAATTTTTTGTTTCCATTCTTAAAGTGGAGCCAAATTGAAAAGTAAATATTCCATTTGAGGAGTCTGAGTATAGTCAGGCTACCATTAATTGCAGGCTACTATAATTGGAGATGTAAAGCTACTTGCATGAAATAACTCAGAAAGATGCCGTACGTTACACAAGCTAGAGTCATGAGGTGTGGCCAGGGCACATCTATGGCCGAGGCCCTGCCAAAGGCGACGTGTGACAAGGGAAGTGATAACAGAAAGGCTTCCTGAAATTCTGGGTCTGAAGCTGAACCCTAAGAAAAGTGAGGTTCTCTGAGGAAGAGGTTGTTACTCAGTATATTATAAAAGGACTGGCTTGATTGGAGGAAAGGGTTGTCCTGTTGGAGAAAAGTGAAAGAAGGACCTCCATGCCCTCATGCTTCTGTCCTGCCCTTCAGGCACACCTGAGGAACTGAGAATGGGAGACTAATTCACGGTTCATTCTGAGGACACTTCTGGAAGGGGGAGTGTTTCTCTCTCTTTTATTCCTAAAAGGTTTCCTTGGGCTCCTTAGAATGGTAACTGATTCCATTGTTTGAAAACCCTGCTATTCCCTAGCTGAAAAGAAGACTGAATGACAGACTGGAAATGATGGATTTTGAGAGAATGGCAGTAGGAGTGAGTGGCTTTGGGTCTCTGAAAGTAGGCTTAGCACTGTGGAAACATGGAGAATATTCTGTTGTTGCCAAAGGATCCTGCCCTTAGGGGAGACATCCGTGATTCCCTACTTCTTACTGACTTGTCACTCTCATTCTCTCTCATGGCCAGTGTGGTGAGGAGGATAAGTCCAGGCTCCCTTCTCTGCCTGGACTTGCTGGGGCCTCTTATGTGTCCTGCTGACCTGGGGTCACATACTCTGTTCCTGTTCTAATACCCCAGGCCCTAAAGTGTGAAAATGAATTACAAATCTCAAAGATTTTATTCAGATAAACAGACTTTTCCACTGCATTTAATTAAGATTTATCGGAATCCCATTTTATGTCAACTATTGTAGGGAGTTAACTCTTGAATTCATCCAAATACCATTAAGATAAACTGAACTTTTTTTATTTTTAAAGATTTTATTTATTTAACAGAGAGAGAGAGAGAGAGGTCACATATAGGCAGAGAGGCAGGCAGAGAGAGGCAGGGAAGCAGGCTCCCTGCTAAGCAGAGCACCTGATGCGGGGCTCTATCCCAGGACCCTGAGATCAGGACCTGAGCCGAAGGCAGAGGCTTAACCCATTGAGCCACCCAGGTGTCCCTAAACTGAACTTTTATAAGAATTTGGATATAGTATTCCTTTTAAGAAATAGCCTAGTAAACTATCTATTGACTGATTTATATTTTAAGTTATTTCAATATTAACCATAATTTAATAATTTATATAGTTGTATAAACAGTTGTCAAACTAAAAGAAAGAGATTTTTTAAAGAAATGTTTTAAAGATTTTGTCAGAGAGCTCAGAAACGGGAAGCAGCAGGCAGTGGGAGAAGCAGGCTCCTCATTGAGCAGGGAGCCCAGTGAGGGACTCAGTCCCAGGACCCCAGAATCATGACCTAAGCCAAAGGCAGATGCTCAACAAACTGAGCCACCTAGGCGTCCAAGACAAAAGATTTTTTTTTTTTTTTGAGATTTTATTTATTTTATTTGACAGCGATCACAAGTAGGCAGAGGCAGGCAGAGAGAGAGGAAGGGAAGCAGGCTCCCCGCCGAGCAGAGAGCGCGGGGCTCGATCCCAGGACCCTGGGTTCACAACCACACCTGAGGAACTGAGAATGGGAGACTAATTCACGGTTCATTCTGAGGACACTTCTGGAAGGGGGAGTGTTTCTCTCTCTTTTATTCCTAAAAGGTTTCCTTGGGCTCCTTAGAATGGTAACTGATTCCATTGTTTGAAAACCCTGCTATTTCCTAGCTGAAAAGAAGACTGAATGACAGACTGGAAATGATGGATTTTGAGAGAATGGCAGTAGGAGTGAGTGGCTTTGGGTCTCTGAAAGTAGGCTTAGCACTGTGGAAACAGTGGCAGAGGCTTTAACCAAACACTGAGCCACCCAGGTGCCCCGAGACAAAACATTTTTAATGACTATGAAAATACTGAATCTTTTACTTATCTTTTTTTTTTTAACTTTTCTTCTTCTTCTTCTTTTTTAAGATTTTATTTATTTACTTGACAGACAGAGATCAGAAATAGGCAGAGAGAGAGAGGGGAAGCAGGTTCCCTGCCGAGCAGAGAGCCCAACGCGGGGCTTGATCCCAGGACCCTGAGATCATAACTTGAGCCAAAGGCAGAGGCCTAACCCACTGAGCCACCCAAGCGCCCCAGTCCCACATTTTGTCACTGCCTCTGTTGAGTGCCTACTATGTTTCAGGCACAGTTGAGTGTTAGGGATATAATGGTAATAACCAAAGCAGAGCTGGCTTCTGCCATTATGGAATTTGATCTTGAGGTAGAAACAGGTATTAATTGAATTATCCCGTTATATGTAATTATAAACCATGGTAAGTGCTCCAAAGCAGGAAAGAATGTGATCACATAGCATCCTTAATTTAACATAGCAACTAGATTCAGGGTGTAGAGTTGGGGAAGGCTTCCCTGGGAAGTAACTTATAGGAACAAAGGATTTTAAAAGGTGGGAAGGAAGGTTGAGGGCTGGATCTGAGGAGGGAAAGGGATTATGTGTGAGGCTTTAAGCTTTTTTGAGAAACAGGCACTGGGTGGGTCTTCATCTTTTTGCACCTTCAGCTCAAGGGTCCATAAGGTACCTAGTACAGGTTGGTTTATGAACTAGAAAGGCTATAGGAAGGAAGGAAGAATTAAAAAAAAAAAAAAAAAAGACTAGGGAGTAACACTGAGGAAGGTCGGTTCTTCAAAGTCTTCTATGTTCTTTTTTTTTTCTTTTTAAAGCGGGACTCAATCCCAGGACCCTGGGATCATGACCTGAGCTGAAGGCAGAGGCTTTAATCCACTGAGCCACCCAGGCACCCCTCTTCAAAGCCTTCTAGACCATAGAGCTGCACTAATGCAGTAGTTAGTATTTGTATGTGGCTTTTTTTTTTTTTTTTCCCTTAAGATTTTACTTATTTGAGCGAAAGAGTACACATACGCAGGGGGAGCTGCAGGCACAGGCTGCCGGCTGAGCAGGGAGCTCAATGCGTGACCTGACCCCAGGACCCCAGGATCATGACCTGAGCTTAAGGCAGATGCTTAACCCACTGAGCCACCCAAGTGCCCCAATATGTGGCTCTTTAAAGAATTAAAATTGAATAAAGTTTGAATTCAGTACCTTAGTCATACCAGCTATGTTTTAAGTGCTCAATTAGCTACATGTGGCTAGTGGCTGCTGTGTAGACAATACAGACATAGACCATTTCCCCTGCAGAAAGTTCTGTTGGACTGTGCTCCTCGAAAGTATTTGAGCTTTGTTCTACGGGTAATACTTTGTAGAGAGGGTGATGAGTCAGTGCCAGCTGAGTGGCCCTCCCTCGCCCCTTGTGGGGATAGATGGGGAGAAGATGCTGAAATTCTTGCTGCTGTTCTCATAGATGAAGTGTTAGGAGCTCACTGGGTCATCTCTCTTCTGTCTGCAGTTTTGGAGAGCTGGCTGGACTACACTGGGGAATTGGAGCCCCCGGAGCCACTGGCAAGGCTTCCACAGCTCAAGCATTGCATCAAGCAGCTGCTGATGGACCTGGGCAAGGTGCAGCAGATTGCACTCTGCTGCTCAACATGAAATTGGGCACCCAGAACTAGTGGGGGCACAATCCTGGGGCACCTGCAGGAGGAGCTTTGCATATTTAAATAAATAAACCTAGCATGCCGAATGCACGTGACACCGACTGACTTCAGGGATCTGGGCAGGGGGTGTGATGGACATTGGACAAAGGGGCCATTTTGGCTGCTGGAGGGCAGGGCACTCTGATCTTGAAGCCTACCAAGAAGGTAACAAATAGACTCTTGGGATTCCTTTCTTCTGTGCACATCGTTGAATGGAGAGTGAGTCTTTTTGCACAAACTTCACTTGATAATTGTGCCACTGATAAAAATGGAATGAGAGCCAAAAAAGTTTAGTCGGAAACAGTTGTAAATTCAACTTGCAGCTTATTTAATTGACTTTTTTTGTCAGGGTGGGGTACATGCCAAGCCTTCTTGTTTCTGCCTGGCATGGATTTAGGCAGCAGGCTTCATTTCCATTTTTCCAGCTTCGTGAGAATGTCGTGACTTCACATTCGGTGGAGGTTGGGAAGAAGCGGAGGCCTTGGCTACCCTGCCTTCTCCTTAGGACTCTTCACTTTTCTCACCACCCGTCTTGCATGACTTCATGGTACCGGGGACAAGTTTTGTATGCTTTTACCCCAGAGTTGGCTGGGTTGTGTTTTTTGTAGCAGAGCCCATACAGCCTGTGGAGGAACTAGAATCTCACTGTAATAAGAATCTAGGAGGAATTCCAAACTGAAGCAGGCAGGGTCTGGAACCCAAAGGACAGCATTTTCTACCCACTTCTTAATATTGACAGCTTCCCGGTTCTATTTAATGTCCAAAAAAATGTTTCCCCAAATTTTGAACTCTTTCACTGTAAAGATTTGTTACAAAGAATGTGGTTTGGAGAATTACCTTATTTTATATTGTTGTAAACAAATTTCAGATTCTACATGTGCCGCTTTTCTCCTTCCAGAAGGTGTATGTTCAGTAGTTGGCATTTTCAGAATTGTTTTTAAAATACTTTAACACTTTAGATTTCCTGTTTGTATTATTTTATGAGGTCAAGGTGATTATGCTGCTTAAGGTCCAGGTACCATTTGTACCTTTTAAGATAACATTTGTTACTCTTGCAGGTTATGGTTCCATGTGTAATTGCTATATTGTTTTGTTTTACTTTGCTAGACAAAGTTAAAGAAAATGTTCCATGCTTTGAGGAGTGACCCATTTCACCATTTAGTTTTCTTATCACTAAAGGCAAAAATCAAAGCACAGTTGTCCATTAACACTCACAAGTTAATTATGGGTTTATGAATCTGTAATGTTATATGCTGCAAATATTTACTATGTAAACGTGAAGTAGCCATTATCTCTATAGCAATGACAGTATCTCCAGCGACCTTTAGAACGATTAGGCCTTGAAGGCACACAGGTCATTGTGGTCTTGAAAGCCTCTGTACCAAAATCTGTTTCAGGGAATGCTCTGTACAGTGATTTCTTCACCATTTGAGATAAAATAATTTAGGACCAGCTGACCTACTACTGTACCTTATCCATCAGAGGGAGGCCATGTGGCTTTGACATCTGTAGTAAAGCTGACATGATTCCCCTCCACGAGGCTCTTTCCCATTGCTAAGGTTGGCATTTCTGGTGTGGGAAGAAACGTCCAAGGAGTATGCATGGCATCTACGTTTTGCGCAATTTATCAGATGGTCACTTTAATAAGATTGTGTTTGTCTGAAAAGGGATGAAACAGGATGATTTTCTGTAGCCACAGCTGTGAGGAATGATGACTGTTGTATTATTAGATTACTGATTTTTCTTTTCTCAGATACATTTGAGCATCACATCTGGGGAAGCTGCAACTTTAAGGGAGTCGAGGTCATGTCTTTCTCAAAGGTGGAAGCAGAAACTGAATTACCCTAATCCTGCCAAGTGGCCATTATTGGGTTTGTTGTTTATAAAGGAATTAATCCCATTTTACTCATTGTGACTTTTGTCCTTAGGGAAGCAGGGATGACTCCCAAGTTCTGATAACCTCAGTGTGCTTCTCTAATTTAAAGCCATGTTGAGGGGCTCCATCCCCAATTCCTGGGTCAGACCGAATTAACCGCAAGTTGGAGCACTGGAAACTGTTATTTGTAAAGATTGCTGTTACCTTATAGAAATGTGTACACTACCTAAGTTTTCTTTTGAGGAAAATTATACACCTATAAAAAATTGCCTTGACAAAAACAGTTCTGGTTTGACTAATCATTTTGTTTCTTTAAACGATGAGTGTTATGCAAGGTGGACCCTTGATGAGCCAACATTGCACTGTGGATACATATCTATGTTTACGCGCTATTAGAACAGAAGGCGCTGTATATAGAAATGTTGCTTTGAAGCAATATTTGCAAAACATGCAAACTTCTGTATCTGTATTTGGAAAAAATAAAACAGGTTTTTGTTGCTATGTTTCAGTCATGTTATTATAAAGTTCTGTACCCTATTTTTAGTATACACTACATGATTTTCTCTAAACATCTTTTTTTTTTTTTTAAGAATTTATTTATTTGAGAGAGAGAGATCACAAGTTGACCGAGAGGTAGGCAGAGAGAGAGAGGGAAGCAGGCTCCCTGCTGAGCAGAGAGCCCCATGCGGGACTCAATCCCAGGAGCCTGAGATCATGACCTGAGCCAAAGGCAGCGGCTTAACTCACTGAGCCACCCAGGCGCCCCTATAAACATCTTTTAGAGGAAGACTTTTTACATTGTAAACAGATGTATCTTCTGTAGGAAAGGAGATGCAAGCTCAAGATCCTAAATCCCAAGAATGTATGCAAAATAATTTTGAATTCATCTAAGTTTCTTTAATATGAGAAGGCAAAATGTACCCACCCCCCTCCTCTAACCCAGTCTGGCTCCTGCTTTGTGGTGTGAGCTGCAGACTTATTAGATTTCGGTTGTTGAGAGCAGTGAAGTGAAGATAGGTCTGGCCTTCCTTATATTAAGAGATGGCACCCATTGCAGTTAGGACCCTTCTGAGACCATTCCACATTGCCCAGGGACCCTAATTAGTTCCTGGGTGGGCAGAAGACTTAAGGAGAAGTAGGCTTTATGATTTCATAACAGAGCCTCCCTATTACTTGCCAAATTCCTTTTCTTTCTAAACAATTACACTTATTTAAAAGACAATTAAAGTGAGTGGCTCCAGCAATGTAATCCATTAGTTCACTCCAGTTTTCCTTAAATTCTAGGGGCCCAAAATATGACAAGAAAAGTGAGTTTGGAGGCTTAAACCAGAGCTCACAAGGAGCTCTCCCTAAGGACCTGCACTAAAACACTTCCTAAAATAGCCCGCTGGTGTGGGTCTTTTGGGAAGCCTGTGCCCAAAGGGCAGATTGGTGTAACAAGTTAGTGGCCCAGTTGGTATAGAGATAGCCAGTTAAGTAAGCACTTAATATAGAGTCCGCTATTTGCCTGCCACAACCACTACCCACTACCTTTTTAAGTAGGAAAGCAAATTCATATGCTAATGAGAGGTAGGAGCGAATACGGAATCCAAACTGCTAAAACTCTCTTTATGGAGACTCAACTAAACAAAGGAATACCCAGGGGGGCCCTGTGGAGCGAGCAGGATAAAAATATTCCAGATGTGGAGGCCTAGGCCTAGCCAACGCGTTAACGGTCCCACCAAAAAAAAAAAAAACAAAAAACAAACAAACAAACAAAAAAAAACAAAGAGAAAATATCAAGTGAACAGGGAACAAAGGCTTTATTCTCTTGGGCTCCCAACCTGGTTTCGCCATCAGCGAAAAAGGAGGTTGGAAGGAGATAAGCTCGGGAAAATAAACCTACTAAAGGACGAACGAAAGGGACACATCAGACGACCGGAGCTGCCCAAAACTCGTTTTTCATCAGCGCGGAATGGAGAGCCAGGCTCAGGCCGCCAGACCCGATCGTGGCCCCAGTCCAGAGAACGCCCACGCCTGGCGGCCCGCAGCTCCACCGCTCAGCCCGTGATGCGCACATCCGTGCGGCGGCGAAGCCGCCGGGCCCGCGCCGCCTCAGGCAGGATGGCGAGCAGCTGCTCCTGCACCAGCATCTCCACGATCTGCTCCTTCGTACGGATGTCGGGTCGAAGCCACTGGCGGGACAGCTCCCGCAACTGCCGGAACGCCTCCCGCGGGCCTGCGGCGTCCTGGTAACGGAACTGCCGGAAACGCTGGCGGAACGTCTCCGGGCCGGGTCGGGAGCCGCCAGGGTGTGGAGGGGAGCGCGGAGCAGCTTCGGCGAGCGGCGGGGAGCCCAGGCCTGTGGGCGGCAGCTCCAAGGCCACGGAGGCCGCCGCAGGAGGCGTAGGAATCGCTTCGGGGACTGCGGCGTTGGGAGTGGAGGGTTCAGGGGGAGGCGGTGGGGCCTCAGGGGTCGACGAGGAGCCCGCAGAGTTACGCTCCGGGCCTGAGTTCAGGCCGGCTCCTTCTTCCTTCTCTGGCGACAGCGCGAGGTCCCCAGCAACCACCAAGCTCGGCTCAGGCGCAGCCATGACTCCAACCTCTGGACGTCACTCTTTGTCCCGCAGCCGCGGCCTCAGCACTGCGTCTGCGCGGGGAGGGGCTGAAAGAGGGAGGGGTTTGACGCGTTAAGGGCCGAGCTCGCGCGGCCTCCCGGTAGGCGGGTGGGGGCGGGCCGACAGCGGGCCAAACTCAACCTCACTCGCAAATTGCCTGAGGGGGCCGGAAGCGGAAGTCCGCCCTAGCTTCTGCGATGAGCTCGGCGCCAGAGCGCCGGGAATCCGAGTCCCGGCTCCCGGAAGTGGCGCCCGCTCACGTTAGCGAGTCCTGTCAGGAGGCGGCTGCGACTGAGGGGCAGGGGTGGACCTCTTTAAGTGTGCGCTCGTCTACTGTTCGCGATGTCGCCTCCCAGCATCAGTTCGAGAACTCGGAGTCAGAGTCAAAATCGGCGTCCGAGGAGGAGGGGGAGGAAGAGGAGGATGAAGAGCTGGAGGAGGAGGAGCCCAGAGGAGTCTTTACTCATTGTGAGCTCTCCGGCCCACAGGTGATCTGCACCTCCAGCTGGGTGTGCGCCTCCCCTGACTGGGATGAGGGCAAGCGAAGGTTTCTCTGGGGCTGGCGCCCGGCCCGTGATGGGAGAGGGGACGGCTGGACGGAGGTCGGCACTGGGGGAGGCCCTGACACGTGGAAGTCCTCTTTCCGTCAAAAGAGGAGGGCAGTGGCATTCACCTTGTTGCGAGGATGACAAAATATAACGTGTGAAGATCCCCAACACACATAGTAAGACTCGCCCCTCCCATGGCACAAGCTATATGCTCAAGAACTGTGTGCCATTATTGTATTTTGCGTGTCCTTTGAAACCAAGGGACAGGTGCCTCTCTGGGTTCTGCTTTTAACATTAAGATTATTAAGTGCCTTTTCCCATAGGCATGGGCCCTTGAAATGTGGCTAGTTGGAATTACGATGTGCTGTGATCTAAAATACACCCAAGATTTAGTACAAAAAAAGAGTAAAATAGCTCTATTTTTTATGTCAATGTTAGATTGATAGTATTTTGCATATGTTGGGTCAAATAAAGTGTATTATTAAAGTTAACCTGTGTCATTTTACTTTTTAAATGTGGCTACTAGACAAATTGAAATTATATATGTGGTTTGCATTGTATTTCTGTTAAGCAGCCCTGTGCTACCGTTTTGGAGTCAGGCAGCCTTGATGGAATTCCCATTTCAGGGTTTATTTGCCTTGGGTCAGACTTGTTGAGAGAACTAAATCAGTAAAGCCCTTTGAAGGAAAGGGCTTTTTATGTTTGGTGTTGTCTTCATTAGGTAAGTTGCTATCTCTGAGCTGCATTTTTTTTATCTGTAAAATGTGAAGGTAATACAGCTTACCTCATAGAAGTTATGAGAATTCAGTGAGATGATGCAGATAAAAGCATGTAGCTCTGATAACCCTTACGTGATACATTCTGTTTGACAATTGTATTTTGTATCGCCATTTTATGGATGGGGAAACGAAGACCCAGAGAGGGACAGAGGCCTCAT